GCCGATCCTTTGACCAAACTTGTGCTAAACAATTGTGGTATCTCCCCTTCTGCCCTGAGTTATTCGCGTTCCGGTATCATCCTAGCATACCTTCACTATTACAATTGTTACCGTGTTTATTTAAATAGTGTGGTGTGCTCATTTGAGCGACATGACACCTTCACACTCCATCTGTCGTTCTCACTCCCCCCTCATCCTGGTGCAGGGAATGTTGATCAGCGTCTGCTTTATTCTTATGCAGTCCTCTTTCTTAGTCCTATCCTAGTCTCTCTCTTGCTCCGTAAAAGCTGTCTGCTCTTCCCCTTGTTCACCTATTTCACTCGACTTCTGCCACCACATCTGTCCTACTTAAGGCGTTATTCGCCCTCCCCAGCGTCTGGGTGACTAATTCGGGACGCAAGCCTCTGAGTGTCATGGTCACCCCTTTGCTACATGTACCACGTCTCTGGTACAACAGACCTGCCGTCAGCCAATTAGCTCCGGTCTCCGCCGTCTCTATCCTGTTTCTATCCCTAATACCAAGTCTATGAGTTACCATGCCCTAGTCTCTTGTGTGCCAACCCACAAATGTTGTGGTACAGCTTGTTTTGATTAGGTTCAATGTTGAACCACAACATTTGTGAGTTGGCAAACAAGAGACTAGGGCATAGGAAGTCATAGACTTTGTATCATAGAAAGAAAGAGGATTGAAACAGTGGAAGCCAGAGCTGGTTGGCACACGTTTGGTCAAAGGAACGGCTTCACTTGTCTCTTTGATGAGTTGTAATATGGTTCTACGAATGGCGAGACTCACTGACGATGCCGACGAAACGTCTGGGAATGTACTACGTCCATGGTCCGACTTTGGAAATGATCATGCAGACAATAGATTCCAGACTTATTGCGTTCCTCTGAGTCTTCCTACCAATTTGACCATGTTGCGAAAACACGGTCAAACAGCCCCCTACTCATTTCGTTGTTAGCAAGATTCAATAGCATTCTGGCCTTGCCCTCAAGCGAGCCATGGCTATTAAGCCAACGCCTAGGAGACCAAATCATAGCTACGCTTTGTTGAGTGTTGGCTCAATTACTAGCCAAGGCCAGATGATCCCACGATTTCGAGTATAACACGAGGCCTCGAGAGACGAAGTGCCTCTTTCCCACCAAGTTTTTCTGTAGCTCATCCGCCCACGGAGCTTCATGTTTGTCTAACTGGCCGACCAAATGGTATGCCTGAAAGTAGGTCCGACAAGACAGCGCTCAAGACCAGACCTCATTCTCAAGATGCAATACGGTGACGACATTTCTGGTGGTCTGCGGAGTGTCCGGAATGATGCGAATGTTCGCGATTGCCCGACACCGTGAAACCAACTTGACTGCTCGACTAAGCCGAAGACCGGCATAGGAACGAGCCCGAGCGGACGGATGCGGCGACCCGAGCCTGCCGGTCGGAGAGCCCGATCGAGGCGGTGAGTGTGTCTCGACGAGTGTTCGATCTCTGCGATCGTCGCGCCGCTGCGCTTCCTCTTCGCCGGCGGTAGCCGCTGCCTCCCACTCCGGCTCGCTGTCGTCCTCCTCGA